GGCGCGGCTCCCGCAGGGCGGACGCAGCCGAGGAGGCGCGGGGCGGCGTCTTACCTCTGCAGGTCCCCGAGGGGCCGGGCGGCCATGGACTTCAGCAGGGGCTCGGGGAGGAGCGCGGCCGTCGGGGACGTCTTGGGGCTGGAGTCGGACTCGGCACTCTCCTCGTCGCCCATGGCTTTGATGTAGCTGCCGCTCCGCATCCTGCGGCAGGGGATCTCCTCGTCCTTGCCGCGGCCCGCGGGGTACCCCCCCCACTCATCCTGAGGCACCTGGAGACAGAGAGGGCAAGTCAGCACCGCGGAAAGCACCAGCGCCTCCTCCCTGCAAAAGTGACAACACGATGGGCAAAGACGGAAAATGCCAGGACAAACGCCCCCAGCAGCGGGGATGGAAATGCCAGGACAAATGCCCCCAGCAGCGGGGCATTCAATCATTTAGACATTTCCTTTTGGTATAAAACGAAATCGAAAAAGGAATTTTGAGAAAATTGGAGAAGAAAGGGACGCAGAGAGAAGACCCTGGTCTTACCACCAATCCCCTTTCTTTTCAAGCTAATGAAGGAGCAGAGGCTTAATTCTGGGTGCCAAATGCCATCACCCGCACTGTCTCTGCCCTGTCCCCTCCGGAAGGCTGGGAGCTGGGGCCCTGCGCCCCATGCAGCGTGGTGGCCGGCCTCTGCGGGCTCTCTGCTGCTCTCCTGCCGACAGCAGCCTTCCAGTGTGTCCTCAGGTCAACATTCTCCTGTCCATCTTCCACCCAGGGGACCCGGGCGCCTTCTCTAGGACACATGCAAAGCCACCGGCGGCAAATGTGTTCCAGGACTGAAGGGTGGTTTTGTGAACTCAGGCTCCTCAGCGTGGACAGAGTGGACCCCATGAGCCAAACCCGCACCCACAGAACTGAACACCGGGCGCAAGAACTCACAACAGCCCGCACGCTGCCCACCCCGGCCTGCTGCTGGCAGGGAAGGGAGGCACTCTACTGGAGACAGGAAGGCGGAGGTGGAGTCCCAGACCCAGGAAGTCTGCAGGCTCGGCGTTCTCATCCTAAAACGCAGTCTCAGGTTTATTCCTCCTGAGAAGGGTGCTGCCATTGTTCCAGCCCTGAGAGCGTCTGAAGCCAGTGGTCTAGACTGGAGCCTGCTGGCCCAGACCAGAGGCCGCTGGTCTAGCACCTCCAACAGGGAGCCCCACGTTGGCTAGCAGCACAGGGCTTTTGGCAGAAGTCACTAAGCGGCCTGCCGGGCGCGGCTCAGCAGACTCGAGTGTCTGTGTGGCCGCCAGGGCGGGCGCCGGGGGAAGGCAGGAGCCCTCACCACGTTCCTCACCCACTCCGTGCTTGGGGCCCGGTCAGAGGCGTCTGCAGGTCGCCTCCCACACGCACAGCACTTCCTCGAGTTGGGTAAAGCAACCCACTGTGTGGTGCGGTGCAGACCAGAGTGCAGAGATGGCCCCCTGGTGCCGACCCCGCACCTCCCACCCCAGGGGCCGGGTGCCGACCCCGCACCTCCCACCCCAGGGGCCGGGTGCCGACCCCGCACCTCCCACCCCAGGGGCCGGGTGCCGACCCCAGACCTCCCACCCAGGGGCCAGGTGCCGACCCCACACCTCCGACCCCAGGGGCCGGGTGCCGACCCCGCACCTCCCACCCCAGGGGCCGGGTGCTGACTGCAGCGCCTCCTAAAACCTTTCTGCTGTCGCTGAGCTGGACACTCTGGAGCTGGAGGTGGACAGCCACGCGGAAAGGGCGTTATGAAGTATTAATGACCTGGTCAAAGCCAAGGTGTGGCAGACGGCATGGCAGAGTGGCTGGAGTGGCAGGCAGAATGGTGCACGCAGAGGGCTCTTCAGCAAGACATTATTAATTGAGAAAATAGGCATCAGTGTGCCCGCCGAGCCCCTCGGTTCCACGGAGACATCACTTCCTGACAGCAAATGTGTCTGAGCCCTGGGAAAAAACGATGAGTAATGAGTGCAGAAGGAGCCGCTCTGGACACTTGACGCTCCTTATCTGTATCTTCCAGCAAAAGGCGTCTTCAATAATCACACAGGAGGGGGCGCGGGAGGTGTGCCCTCGGCTCCCCACCCGGGGGAGGGGGCAGACGCGTCCTGCCTCTGCGGTGCTTCAAGTTCAGACAGCCCACAGCTGGGCAGAGGCTTCCATTCTACCACTGTCCAGGGCAGCCAGGCCCAGGGCCAGCACGGGTCCTCAAGTCCCCTCCAGCTGACTGTTTCCGAAATCTTTATGATCTTCCCTGTGCTAGTCAGGAGCTTATCCTTGTAGGCAGACTGATAGGGCAACCGTGCAGGGGATGGTGGTGTAAGAGGAAGAAGATGTGTGGCTAAGGGCAGAGGCTCCAGAGAGGGTGTCTTGGTTTGTGTTCTCCGGTCATCACTGGACACCGCAGGCCACGTCCTCTATGCTGAAGTTCACTGGGCTCACGGCTGTAAGGGCGGGAAGGCCAGGAGCAGCCGGCCAGGCTTCCTCCACCGGGGAGTCACAGGTGACGGATCTGTGTGCCAGGCGGCGTCTCCTCCACCTCTGGCAAAGCCCCCAGTGCCACCCAGAGTGCAGCTCGGCCTCAGCCATGCCCTGCCCAGCCCGACGCCTCCTGTGCACACATTCACAGTGTGGGGGGACACCTCACTGCACGCGGTTTGGGCTGGGAGGGCGGGCGGGCAGCGTCGGGCGGGCAGCGTCAGGCGGGCAGCGTCGGGCGGGCAGCGTCGGGCGGGCAGCGTCGTGTGAAGACACATTTTGGGTGGAGGAAGGGCGTTTCCAGGGGGTGGAGGGGGGCATTTTCCAGGGGGTGGAGGGGGGCATTTTCGGGGGGGTAGAGGAAGGGCGTTTCCAGGGGGGCTGGGCCCCTGTGCTGCTTCCTTCTGCCATCTCCAGTGGGACGCATTTTGCTTTTGTGAAAACACCTTTTTTATTTAGGTGACACTAAGGTTTGAACTCAGAGGAGCATGCTTGAGCGGCAGCCCTTACCTCCTAAGCCGTGCCCCTATCCTTCTTACTTTATTTCCTTGAATTGGGGCTTACATCTTTACCTGCTGAGGACACAATGGTCCTGGTATGACTTCTGCAGAGCTAGATCATGAGGCCCCCCTCCCCCCTCTCCCTCCCTCTCTCCCTCTCCTTCCCCCCCCTTCGGCTTGCATTGGCTCTGAACTGTAATTCTTCTGACCTCTGCCTCTTGTGTGGCTGAGACCACAGTATGAGCCACTGTGCCTGGCAAAAAGCGTTTTTCTGAATTTAGCAAAGTCACATCCTCAATGGTCTTGTTTTACTAGAGACGGTGAGCAGAGAATGAAACGATTCCTGGGGTGAGCGGGTGAAAGAAGAGGCTCCCACGGGTGGTGGGGGCTCCAGCAGAGGCAAGACCTGAGCGCTGCACCCGGAAACGACCAGCAGCGAGAACGGGGGGCGCCGCTGGGGCCGGCAGGGAGCCCCAGAACGGGCGGGCGCCGCTGGGGCCCAGCCAGGGAGCCCCGGAGCGTCGGGGACATGTGGGGGAGGCCCGCTGCCGCCAGAGGAGGCATTTTTGTGATATATCAAAACCATGTTTCCATAAGAGAAAAACAATGTAAAGATTTTTTCATCCATCTGCAAATTAACAAACCAGGCCAGCTCGTAGCTTCCGTTTCTGATTTAAGGAGCTAATATCACAGCTTTTGACAGAATACAATCAATGCAAGAAGGGCCGTGAACCAAGAACTAAACAGCGATCCCAAGCACATGTCTCAAGACTGCAGAGCACAGAGGACGGACGCTGAGCCCTTCTGTGTCTCAGTGGAGAAGCCTGTGTCCCGGGCCGCTGGTCCCGGCAGCCCTGTGGGCCTCAGAGCGCTGCGGGTGGCGTCTCTCCAACTCCGCCTGGCACCTCCGTCTCACTGGTGTGATCAGGGGCAGAGGCCTGCAACTCATCATCTCTGGAAAAAGCTGACATCATGCACACTGGGACGTCTGGCTTTAAGGACGGCTCAACACTGCATGCTAACGTTTTTCTCTTTTTTTTTCAAGTGGCAAGACCCAGGTGATGGGACAAACTCTACAATAATGTTCTGTTTGGTGTGTTAAAACCAAGCAAAGGAAGAAATATAGTCCAGAGCTGCACTCCTCCGTGGGACAGCTTTTCTTCATCATCCATAGCTTGTGTGCGTGTGTGCACATGCACAGGTGTGAGGTGTGTGTGTGCATGTGCACATGCAGTGGCACGCATGTGCACAGGTGCACGTGTGTGTGAAGTACTCAGACACAGGCGTTATTGCGGCAGGCCTGCTGCCCACCCTGCCAGGCTCCCCATGTCAGTGGTGTTGAGTTCCTCAGGGGCCAGGCGCTCCCTGACCCTCAGCCCCTGGCATCTGCCTGACAGCACCCTTGCCACCGTGCTGGGCATTTTTGCCTCCAGGACCCAGCAGCCCTGCCTGAGGAAGAGCTGCTCACGTCCTGTGGGATTCACAACGTCGCTTTTCCTGTCTTCTTTCCCAAGCCTTGGACTGGACCTGCTTTGCATGAAAACTGATGCCTTTTGTTCCATTTCTTTTGCAGCTTTAATGAGCAGTGATTTTTCCAGGAACATAACTACCATGCAAATCAAGAGAGAATTTTGTTTTGTTGGCATTGCACCAAGAATTGTTTACCGTTTGTGAAATCCTGTGGGGTTGGCAAAGTCTCTGGTGGTGTCTGAGTCCTCATTGCCAGTCCTCTCCGTGGTCTAATTGATGGTCTCCCATGATGACAATGCTTCCTCCAGAAAGGAGCCTCCACACACTTTGCTCAGGAGAGATCTGTGCACTGGCATTTTAATGTTAGAACATTTTCAGTGAAAAGCCAGTTTTTAAATATCTCTTCTGTGCTAGAGTTTAGGTCATATTCACACACATGTTTACATGCACACACATATGCACGTGTGTGCACACACATTTACATGTGGAGGCATTTCCTAACTGGTAAGTATACAGGCAAGTTACATATAACAGATGGGAGGCCCTCGGAGCATCTGCGTGCGTCAGACCCGCGGGTGAGTTTAGAGCCTGCTGTGTGGACAGGAGGGCGGGGGCGGGGACTGTGTGATGGTGCACGCACACACACACACACACACACGCTGTCTGTGGAGTACACAAGTGGGGACTCTCGTGAGAAACTCTCCCAGCCAGGCAGTGCTGTGGCAGGGGCTGGGAAGGGCTGTGAGCCGGCGCCTGCAGGGGTCTGGGAAGGCCTGGACCAGGTGGGCTGCTGGTGCCAAGAGGGCTGAGAAGCCGGATGGATAAAGGCCAGTTGAAGGGCAGGCTCTGCATCCAGCCCACCTCTGCATCCAAGAGACCTGTCAGACCCTGCCCCATGTCCACACCCACAAGAGACCTGTCAGACCCTGCCCCATGTCCATATACGACTGCAGCCTGAGGGCCGGGCTTGTGGAAGTGCAAGGTGTGAACTTCTTGCTCAGCAGGTCACAGCTTCATGGCTCAGTCCTGTAGTCCTTGCCAGCCTCCTCCTGCCCTGGTTCCTTGTGTGCTACGGCTCCCACCTTTCTGAAAATGCAAGGACCCTGGACTCCAACGGGGCCGGGCTCGTCAGCCTCGGGCCCAGGCTGGAGGAGGCCCTGGGCTTCTGAGTCAGCACGCAGCCCTGTGGGGCCTCTGGACACCACCGGCCAAATGCATGTCCTCGGACAATCAGATCTTTGTTAAACATGCCAGACCCCTCCCAGAGGCCAGGCCACACAGCGACAGGATGTGACCCACACCACACCCCAGCTCCGTTCTTTCCTTCCTGACCTGATCATTGAAGACCAGAGCAGACAGGCTCACCGCAGTGACCCGTCGTTCGCAGCCTGCGGTCTGCCAGGGACCTGTGACAGCTTCTGTGCAGGATGCAAGGAAGCGGGAGTGTGCCCTGCAGCAGGCCCCTCCCCCTCCGCAAACCCTTCCCCTCCGCAGCCCCTCCCCCACAGCAGCCCCCTCCCCCTCTGCAAACCCCTCCCCTCCGCAGCCCCTCTCCCACAGCAGGCCCCTCCCCCTCTGCAGGCCCCTCCCCC